ACTAAATATGTCTAATTAATTTAAAGTTTTGCATGTATAATATAAGTGGTACATACACAAAATTAATAACCAATATAAAAACTAATATAAATTTTATTAATATGAACTAATAAATAACTTACAAAAAAATTTCTAACATTTTGTCCCCTAACTTGAATTTCTCGCTCCATCCTGGCTGTAAATTCCTTAAACAGAGTCAAGGTTGTTTATTCAGCGGACTGGAAGTGGCCCCTACGTGCCAGAATAGTCTTCGTAATTAGGAGAAAAACATATGGGCTCATCAATTCAACCCTTACCGTCTACGGACGGCTTGATTGAAGATTTGATGGCCCATTATATCAAGAAAATAATAAACACGACTTTCTGCCACCAGAACTCCAGCACGTCCTTTGACCGGGCAACGGTGAATAAGTAAGCCAATTAAAATTTTTTTTAAAAAAAAAAAAGAAGAAAAAGAAAAAAAGTTGTACGTATAAGCTAATGCAATTTACAAAAAAAATAAAATAAAATAAAATAAACTTCAGCTAAACAGAATGGATGAAATTAAGCAGCATTCTTATGATCTCCATCGTCCGTGGGAGAAGACGACGGAAAATGGGAAGAAAACATCTATTGGGGATTAATTGCTGCAATACAGGCGGTCGGCTGTGCCAAGTTCAGGTCCTTCTTAAGGTCCATCCTCCTCCCAAAACTCACCGGAGGCCCATGCACAACTTCACATACTAATTTTTTTGGTTACCAATCTTAAATTTTGTTGGAAAAAAACTAAACGTTCTCAAATGTTTAGAGAGTTCGAGCAAATTTTAGAAAAACCTTTTTACAACAAGAACTACGGGAGGCTTGATTTTTTTTTTTATTATTCATTTCTTTACCATTCCTCTTCAAGCTAAACAAAGAGGCTAGAATTACAAACAATGCCTCTCATCATTTTGTTCTATTGAATTTCCTTTGGAGATTCTTGCTTATGAGCTCCATGAAGGTTTGAAAAGTAAGTTTTAGTGAGGAAAAATTTTTCTTAATTATAGCAACTGAAAATTAAACGTGAAATAAAACTCCACCAAACATCCGTTATTTCCCCAAGGTCCATCGGCCGTTCTCCTCAAGACTAACTTTTCCATTATTCCCGCAGGACAAGACGTCCTTGACTCAATTTACCCTTGCATTAAATTGGTTCAATCATGGATACGTACAGATGAAAAGCACATTGATATTTCAAAGTTCAGTAAGAACTACTAGAAATCTGCAAATTGATAGTAATATATTTTTTACGTGTTTTCTTCCTGATGCTCTACTCCATACTGACCCAACTGGTGTTGCATAATCTTACGTTAGCACTTGTTACTTTTTTTGTTCTTAATACAGTTGCGGCTGAACAAACCTCTCAGCCGAATAATGGAACTGTCATTTCCACCGTACCAGTAGTCCTGTCGAGCATAAGTTACACCGTTCAAAATTTATCCTCCGAAGACTCACCTGAAGCATACCTCGATGCCCACAATACCTATCGGGCAAAAGTTGGTGTTAAGCCAATGAATTGGGACAGGGTGGTGGCGGCCCATGCAGAAAATTATGCCAATGAGAGAATCGAAGACTGCATGTGGTACGATTCCGATGGATCAATTTACGGTTCGAAAATGGCAAACAGCAGCGGTTCAATATCGGGAAGAGAAGCGGTAATGCGTTGGGTGGACGAGAGGTTTAATTATGACCTTGAATCAAACACCTGCCTTGAGGGAGAATCCTGCGGGTAATTACACTCAGGTCATCTGGGGGAACTCGATCCGTCTTGGTTGTGCAAAAATAAATTGCAGCGGTGGTGGCACTTTTGTTGTTTGTAACTATGACCCCCCCGGAAACCAATTACACCAGCGCCCTGTGAATCAATCAACTACGGCACCACCACCCCCGTTATCTTCGCCACCATCACCCCCGTCAAATCCGTCAGCACCACCCCGGTCAACTCCTCCACCATCACCCCCGTCAACTGAGGGACCACCACCTCCGTTAATTACACCAACGGCCGCACCGCCGTCGGTAAACTCCAGTGCTGACACACCAATGATCAGTCCGCCCACGAACGCCAGCCAATCACCACCGGTACCACCCCCACCAAACTCTACTGTTGCAGAGCCGCCAATAGTTGGTCCGGTGAAACAAAGAAACAAGAGGAAGGGAATACTCGTTGGGTCAATTGCTGCGGTATGTGCTTTGTTTTTGGGGTTAGGTTTCATTCTGTTCATTCTCCGGCGAAAGGGGAGAGGAAGTGCACTAAATAAACTTGCACTTAACGTGTCCTTTGGTGATGAATTTGGGAATGGCATGGGACCTAGGGAGTTCACCTATATTGAATTGTCCAAGGCAACAAAGAACTTTGCTGAAGAAGA